GTTTAACATCACAATAAGTAAATTTGATAATTTATGTACATGTTCAACTTGAATAATTTGAAGAGGGAAGCCAACCAGTGATGGAACCCAACGAGAATTTATTTTAGGTTAACAAATCTCTGCAATATTTTCTTTTGAGCCTATGGATGGAATTAATGGGTTGAGTAGATGAGATTTGAGAAACTAACGGGTTAGTATGGGAAGGTAGTTTTGAGTAGAAAGATCTGTAATGTTTGGTGGCTAATTGGTCAACTGATTCAATTTTTAGGTCAGAGTGTAGTGAAAAGTTGGAAACAAACCAAGGAGCAGACGTTATCATACGGTGGGTAATGGACTGGAATGCTTGTATCGTGCGAATTTGGGATAACATACATACATATTTTTTATTATTTTTTTTTAGTAATTACGACATACATATTTAATTACATACATAATTAGGTACTATTACTTATTGGTACATTATTATTATTATTTTTTAAATTATTTAAAAGTTTTATTATTTACAATTACGTACATATTTAACAATTAATATTATAAAAATCGGTTAATTTTTGTTGTTTTAACATATTACGTGCTTTTTTAGCTTCCATATCTCTAATTCTTCTAGGTAAATCCGTTCCAAGTTTGTGAAATATTAAACACAGTATCTTTTATAGTGTAACGTTTCCAAAAATCTTTAACATTAATTTCTTCACTAAATGTCACAAGTTGTTGAATAAATTGTTTCCTATAACGTCTTTTCATTGATTCAATAACCCCCTGATCCATGAGTTGGATTAGTGCTGTCGTGTTTGCTGTTAAAAAGTGGCACATTATTTTTTCATCGTCGCTTTGTAATTGAGAATTAGGATGAGTGAGGGAATTGTCCATAATGCGATCACTATCGCAATTAACTGTTTTTATCCCACCCATTAAATATATATGTATGTATATACATATATACCTATCGCTTGTCTAGTAGATATTGCCGGAAAGTTTCGGATTATATATATGTATTATTATTTATAACCTACTCATATACAAGTGGCCTGACGGTTAATCGGGGGACGGATAATCGAGGTTCTACTGTACTGACTAGATTTCTAATCATTACTTTATCAATAACCAAACATCATCACCGTTGATTTTGTTTGGTTATGATAGTTCAGTAACCTATAACCAAAAGTTATAATCAAAGTAATAACCAAAATCATCAAAACGACTCGTTTATAAAATACAGTAACCCAGATACATTTGGTTATTCGCCAAAACACGCCTATTGTTTTTAATTAATTCTTTATCGGAATAATCACATTTTTTGGGAGAGATTATCACTGATTGTTTATTCTGCACCCAAAATTTTAATAAACGCTTCACATTTATAAGACAAACATCATACATATATTTATTAAATACTACTTTTATCATATCAATTGGCAAACGTTCTAAAGGGGTATTACCTTTGTGATATTCGACATCACTCCCGGTTCTAAAACTACTACATTACTTATAACTGGCCTGAAAAAATACGAAATTTCTTCAGTACGCAAATAAACACAATGTTTATTGGCTTTTAAACACTCAAACGTAGTTTCATCAGCATTAAACATAATATTGTCGATTCTTTAAGTTACAATGAGACAATTAATCAAAGTTTGCATCAAAAAAAAAAAAAAAAACGAACAAAAAATGTTTAAGTAATATTATAGGTATATTATCAGTTGTATTACAATAATCTATGTGTATTTTTTTCATTTTAGTAGACGTATACTTATTATGTCAGGAATTTATTTTTTTTTTTTTTATAAATTTATTAAGGCTTCAACGACAAAGGTTTTTAGTCTGTATTTAGTGTTAACAAAGTATTGGATAAAAATATATACACACTAATAAATTAACTTTGACAATAGTGAGATAATGTAAGTATTAACATATTTTTAAAAGGTTATAATCTATAGCTTAAGTTTATGATTTTGAAAAATGTGATGATTGCTGTCGTGTTCTCTTCGTTGAGTGCTTGGTGAAGTGTGAGAGGGTTGTTGAGGATTTTGCGGGCTTCAGTGTATTTGTGACAGTTAATAACAATGTGTTCTATTGTTATTGTCTCATTGCATGTGTTACATATTGGTGCTGGTTCTTTTGTGATTTTAATTCGGGTAATGTTTACTTACTCTCTTCTCTTGATGTTGGGAGGATATTTTAGTTTTTGGACGAACAGTTTTATATTTCTAAGTTTGTTGGAGAGATGGAGGTTTGTATGCCAGAATTATACCATCGTGTTCAATAAAAATATATGAAAACAAAGCGAGTCCGTTAGAAAATAAAATAAATTAATATGTGTGTAGCTAGTTTACCTCTATTCGCGTATCTATGGAAATATATTCAGCGATATTCATAATATTGATATTAACTGTACTCGTTTATTCAGCAGTATTATTTAAAAAAAATCCTTGTTGATTAAGTGTAAACGAACTTTATTATTTCTATCGACTTGGACGGAAAACTAACAGAATGTCCGCAGCTACAGCTAACGGTGATTGCGAATTGATAGACGTGAAGGCCGTGTTGACGAAATCGTTGAGCGAATCATGGATAGACTATCGGCGCAGACTGGTCAATCGCGTCAACGGTTTGTTTTACCACGAAAAGTGGAATTTTTTACTGGTTTTTACGATCGTTATCCTATCGGCGTTTCTTTACCTGGTGGTCTACCACGGATGGTTCTCTAGCGCGTTAGTGGGATTCGTGTATCCGGCGTACGCTATGATCGCGAGAGAACTGAGGCCGNGTTTGTTTTACCACGAAAAGCAGAATTTTTTATTGGTTTTTACGATCGTTATCCTATCGGCGTTTCTTTACCTGGTGGTCTACCACGGATGGATCACCAGCGCGTTAGTGGGATTTGTGTATCCGGCGTACGCTATGATCGCGAGAGAACTGAGGCCGCGGACGACCGTGATGACCGAAAAGGGTGATACTGTGACCGCAAAAACCAAATGGCAGGTTTATTGGACGGTCTTCGCAATGGTTTTGATTTTGGAAAGTCCAGTAAGCGCATTTTTGAATGCGATTAAGCCGTTTTATTATTTGTTACGAATGGTATTTTTCGTATGGTGCTTTGCACCGATCGAAAACAACGGCACGGAATTCGTGTACGGTTTCGTTGTATGGCTGCTGATGTGTTATAATCGTTTCGTGAAAGATGCACCGTCAAACCACGTAGACCAATAATATCGTAGTCCAGAAATTAACATGATGATATTCAGTGTTGATTTATTATAATAAAAATTTTATGAATGCCTTTAATCGTCGTTTCGATAAACCAATCATGGGGTATGTAAAATAATTAGTATTTTTCGACTTACGTGTTAGGTCGTACAACCCATAAAATTATCTCAAAAGTGTTGTGTAGGTTTGGTACTCCCCATCATCTACTGATGGGGGGTAAGAGGTATGAAAGGTCATCGGGCCAAGATATTTAGTGGTATATATAAAACGGGATACACCGTATATATATATATATATATATATATATATATATATATATATGTATATTTATAATCCACATTCCATGGCACTTGAAAATTAAAATTTCATCAGGTTTCTAAAGAGCGACATCGTGTTTTGGCGCATAAACGTGTATACTGAATATTGTTATCTTTGGTTGTTAGAAATACCTAATCTGATTTTTTCTTTTTTGTTGTTGACTGTTCTATTCCTTATAAATTCGTCCCGAGATGATTATTTTTTAAATACGGATTACCTTTACGTTTTGAAAATTTAGCATTGATGATTTCAGGTTGAAGATTTAAAATACTTCGAACATTATATTCTCGAAAGAATTTCTTGGTCATATTATTCGGTCGGTAAGGTATCGGTTTTCTTTCTTCTTTTTTTTTCCTTTGACACGGTTTCTGGGTTAGATCAGTATGCAAATCTTAAGGAATCGGTGTTAATTAGCGTTCGATTCCCGATTCGGTCACTTAATTTTTAACACTATTTTCGTACTAAATATATTACTGGGTTACATTAATGTGTTGGTCAATTGTGAATCGACCACAAGAAAACTGATTGGATTCACCTCACGTACTCAGCTTATGTATATATCCCTGCACGAGTACTGTCAGTGTTACAACTGTGGTCCGGAGTGATCGGAATGGTGATGCCTACTGCCACGAATAAAGCGCAAAATAATTTGCTAGTTTACTAGTCGACGTTCATATTGGTTTTGATATTGGAAAATCCGGTTTATACTTTGTCATTTAATGTTAATTTATGATAAACTGAAAAATAAATGTAATGTTTGTAAAAAATACGAGTACTTATAATTTTTTTTTAGAAACTTGTTATTTTTATTTTATAACAATACCATGTTTTTACACTTATTTCTGTGTTATAGATTTTAATAAAATAACTTAATAAAAATAATTATGAAAACTGTAATAATATATATATCTAATAAATAGTTATTGAAAGCCAATTATCACTAAAAAAGCATTTACCCATTATAGTTTTCTTTAATTCTATTAACTAGTAAAATGTACTAAAAAGGAAAATATAACTTAAAAAGTCCAAAATATCTTCTTAATAATTAAAAGAAAAGTCCCATAAATTAATTTTTGTTACACAATTCAAATTATATACTTATTATTTATTTTTTTTTGTCTAGAAATCTACATTTCAACCAACTAAAAAAATGTTTTTTACAAAAAATTCACAGTCCTACTGATAACGATTTCGCTAGTTGGTTATAGAGTATAGATTAATACTATCTACCATAGAGGTACTATATATATAGTCTATACGGACAGTATATATTATCTATCTTGATGATATTTTGAAAATAATCATTTATCCTGTAGGTATTATTAAAATACTAGCAAATATCGATATAAAATGACTTACCTTCGACCCTGATTAATTGAGTCGATCGTTTAATAATAAGTAGTCAGTATTAAAAAAAATGAATTTACTGAGAATATTTAAATAGTTATAGAGCCTCAGACTTATCTTACTTTATCATCGAGGCTCCAAGATCTTAGTTGTGCTATTGGGTTTAATGTCTAACGAGTGTCAATTTTGTTTACAAAGAAGCATTGAGTTGAATTCGTACAAATGATTCTACCCGTTTTTATTATTATAATAAGGGCTCAGGATTTTATGCATTTAAAATCAACAGAAAAGCCCTTAAAAACATCAAAAGAGGTTTAAAATAACAAATGATATAGGATGCAGAAGAGTTCAAAATGTTCACCTTCAAAATAAGATTACTTATTTTTAAATTACTTTAATATAATTTATAATTCTATGATTTGGTTTCTAATTATTTAAATATACAAAAAAATGCAATAATTGTATACGTTTAATAAAACATGTTTATATTGATGTAAACGATTTTTGTACATACACGTAAAATTAGTTAAGTTTAATAAATAGTACATTTTGTTTCAAAATCGAACACAGGAGAAAACAAGTAATTTAGCTTTTTATAAAAAAAAAACATTAGTTTAACATTTCGTATAAAAGAACAAACAAACTATGAGTAATATCTAGGGCCCAGAACTTGAAAATCTAAAAATCTTTAAAAAATGAACACAAAAAAAGTATTAAAATGACTTAAAAACATCAAAAAATGACTTAAAATATCACCCTAAAGAAACAGATAAGTATCATAACATTTTCAAAAATTACATATTTTAATAATAAACCATCGTTTTTAAATCATTTATTTATTAATTATTATACAATTCATCTTAACAATACTAATATTTGTATACATTAAATATGTTTTTATTACTTAAACGATTAAATATTATGTAAATATTTTTAAATAATAAATGTGTTACATTGAACTATCAAAGTGTGTTTAATATTTTCAAAAATAAAATATCAACGATTGTCCGATTAAAGTTTTTTAGGTAGAAATACTTCTTTCCACTTCCACAGATGTAATTGGCGCATACTTGAAAAAAGTGATATCATCTATATTCAAATCTTCTGGCAAGGCTTTTTTTGCAACTTCTTGTCATTCTGAAATTTTTGAAATAATTTGCAAATTTTTATAACCACTATTTTTTTCTAAAACACCTTTGAATTTATTTTGAATTTTGAGTCTAACTATATTTTGTGCTTGATGAATTATATTTTTTTCTTCTACAACTAGTATAACATCAGCAAGGCATGTGTTTGATGATTCTAATTTTGTTATTGAATTTAGTAGCGATCCAAAGTTTGATTTAATTTAACTCTATCTCTGGATCAGTTATTAAATCAATTACATTTTCAATGGAGGTTGCTTCATTTTCCAGTTTCATAATTATATTTTTAACTACACCAAAACGTTCACAATAATAAAAGGCTGCCGTTAACCATGTCCCCCACCTAGTTAAAACAGGTTGTGGGGGTAATGGAATATTCGGTGCTACTTCTTTAAACATTTATACTCTGGAAGGAGCCTTCAAAAAATGGTTTTGCAGTTTGAAATAAGTTGGTTGACTTTTGGAAAATGTTTTCTGATTTTTTCCGCAACCCTACATAAAGCATGAGCCAAGCAGGTTACATGTTCCATTTTTGATTAAAATACCTTGATGGTTTTACCTGCTTTGACCATATATTATGCAGCATCACTTAATAAAAGTAATACAAGATCGTATTTTATACCATTTGGCCAAATACTTTGAAGTGATCTATCGAAAAATTTTGAAATTGTACTATGATTTACTTTTTCTAAGACTTCAGTATTTATTAAAAAATGTTTTCCGAGGCCATTCAACTCCAAAGTTCCCGAAACAATATTTTCTACATAACGCCTTTCGGCGTTCGTAGTTTCATCTAAAGTTATCCAAATTTTCATATTTTCTATATAAGATCTGATTTTATCTTTAGTTTCCTGGTAACACTGAAAAACATAGATTTTTCTTAAAGTTGATTTATCGGGAATTAATTTATTCGTATATTTCTCCAGAAAAATTTTAAATGTTTCATTCTGTAGTTTGTGCAATGGAATATTTGCGGATAACAATGTTGGACACAGATCATGATTGAAAGATGATTTTTTATATGGTTTGGTAATTAAAAGTTGTGTCTTACTAGTACTTTATTCTTGGTTTTTCTTTTACAGTTCAACTCCATTAACATGTTTTTACGTGAAATATGCGGCTCGATGGTAAATTTTTTTCAGCTGCCACTTTTACCTTGTAATTTTTGCAAAATAACACAGTGCCGTCGGATGAAAAAATTTCTTTGCTAAAATGATTTACAAACGAATTCAATCGAGTGTTATCCGAAACTTTGTACTTTGGCATATTAAATATTTAAATCGAAATGTTCACCATCCATCATTCACACCACTACGTCCGTACCGTGTATTAGTCTATCCTCGGTAAAATTGTTAAATAGAAATTACGATAACTTATCGATAAGTTATCCATTCCATTGTCGATAACGCAGGGGAAACAGCACCTAGTGTATAGACTACAGGGCCTAAATTAAATTTAAAACGAAGATAAGAAATAATGTCAGTAATACAATATACTGTACAATACTTATCAATACAATATACAATATCTACAAAAATGCAAAGAATGCTCCAACATTTTTAAAAATGACCGTATAACTAAAAATTACCAAAAAATGCGAAATAAAAATTGTTCCATTGAATTATACATGACAAAAGTCACATTTCTGTAAAGACAAGCCTTATATAAACGCATTAGAAAAAAAAATGAAATGCATCAAGTTCCGGGCCCTAGTAATTTCACTTAAAAAATATCATCTACTCACAAAGATATAATTCGTATTAATTATTTGAAATGATTGTATAATAATTGTACAATATAGAATTATAAACGTGAAGTTTTATCTCACAGCTTCATGGCTTGAACCCCATCAATGAGCCGACGTAGAGCTATTTGTTGCTATCATCGTCACTCGAAATGTATCCATACCTGATGGCATGCACGCCATTATAAAATGGTGATGCGTTAGGGCTATACCTATATGTGAACAAACCTATTGTTATTGAATTTCATATTTACCTACGGTACAAAATTTTTAATTCATTTTCAAAAATATAAGTAATTATTCTTTTGATGGTCACGATTTGACTACACCGTCTTTTTTTTTTTTAAATATCGAACATAATTAATTACAATACTATAAAAAATACTCACGTCGATGACCCCGGGCCGTGCGAAGGAGACGCCAGAGTGTACGGCGTTGATGTAATGTTGTATGGCCAATAAGTCATACTGTATGAACGTGACAACAAAATATTATACGAAGATGACTCATTTAGATTTGTACTCGCGTCTGTAACATCCATAGGCGTGTCTATGCCTCTTTTGCAGGTCAGGCACAAGCTAAATAATATTTAATAATATTTATATATTATATTAATACAAAACTGGTAAGACCAAATAAGCAAGAGAATTACATTTTTTTAATAAACAATATTCTGTTTATTAGTAATCAGATAAGTGTTAAATATTTTCATAAGATAAAGAAATAACATATATTAGTTAAATTATTTTATGGACAATATTCATGCAATTTTATTAAATAAATAGTTTTTACTACACGAATAATACAATAATACAATTGTATTATTTTATAATACTATCAAAGATACTTACGACGGTGACGCTGGGCTGTGGGACGGTGAGGCCGGGCTGTGGGACGGTGAGGCCGGTCTGTAGGTTGGTGACGCCGTGCTGTAGGATACATAAGTCAGACTTCGAGAAGGAGATACAACTAATCCTGTACATTTCAGAAAATACATTACAGAGTTTGTTACGGTGCACATATATGTATATATTAAAATTATCAAAAAACACTATACTGATATTATAAAACAATCAATATGTTACCATACGCCAATAAAAACAACTTTGTTTTATCACATTAAATCCGGCAGACTACAACCAATGAGAGGTGACCCTCGTATCACTCTTAGGGTATATATAGCGAAGGCCAACAGTTTACTTCATATCTACCATCCAAACTTTCAACATCTACTCAAGTTTTGAATACACCAAAGTCGAAACGCTCATTAACACAGACGATATCGCACTGGTTCTTATTGATGGATATTATCAATATACGTTAACACTGGTGATTTAATATTACATATTTAATTAACCACCCCACTTCAGTATGTGTAGGACAATGGAATGGTTTGCTTTTTAGTTTTATGCCCGACGGATTTAATCCAACTGTTAGATCAGTCTCGACTGCATCTTTGCCGATATTAGTTCACTATTATTTTTCGTTTAAATTTAACATTGTATAATGGATCATTGCATCATGCTACGCTGTGTCGAGGAGAATAACGGTCTCAAAATAAAAATTGCAAATAGTGCAACATTTCTTATATTTTTCCGTTCTTCCTTCAATTTTTTTCGGTTTATCAAATTTGATGAGAAAATTGAAAAATTATCTCTCTAAAGTACCTCCCTAGTGAAACTTCCTTTTTGAAAACGTGCTCTATTTAAAAATCGAGCAAGTTTTCTGGTATAAAAGTTGGGTAAAGATAAAAAAAATAATAAACATCTTTGTAAATCTATAAGCTTCTTCGCTTCACTCAGAATCTCAAACTACAATAATGCAATTCCAAATGTACACACTTATGAAAAATAGTATTTAGTACCACTGTGATCGTTTTCTACAATAGCGAACGAAAATAATATTATAATAAAGAAATACAAAAACTTACGTGGTTGTTCTTGGTCGCACATTGGACAATTTCTTTTGAGTTTCTTCGAAACTGCGTAATCCATCGGTGACGGCGATCGTTTTCTTTTCTTTCCAGTCAAATAGGTTACGTCCTCTATTAATGGTTCTCTAACGGTAGAATCAACTCTGTCCGAACACTTTACGGAGACTACGAAAAGTACGGTTGTAATTGAATCCATATTATATTAAGAACAAAATCACGTATGATGAACATCAAACAGTACTTTTACGCAAAAAGAGAATTGATGTTTTCTGAAATATTTTAGATGTATATTCGTTACATAGAAAAATTTACCCAAACGACCGAATGTTCTCATAAAAATTAACAGCAAATATTATTTCCAGCCTGCCACGGATAGTATAATTTTTTGATTTCGTTAATATGAATATTTTTCTGATTCTATTTATCATATATTTGCACACAAATAATGGTACGTATACTGATAAATACATTAAATTTTACTTGTATATTTGAGCGTAACGAATAGTGATGAATGTTATTGGTTTTACCATAATATGGTTTTTCATTTATTTTTTTAATCTCAATTTCCTACTTACTTAAAATAATTTTCTTATGAATCATATTAAGGATATAAAAGATCGTTGTTTAATTTGAATTCAGTTTTATAAAATGTGAAAACGATTATTTTTACATAAATTACAATACTCTTTTCCTACCTACCCGAACTTGTGAAAGTAGAAGTGCGATGAGCCGTGAAAAGAAATATTAAAATTTGAATTTAGTGTCTGTACGAATCCATTGTCAACGAATTGACGGCCCATGTGCAATCAAAATATATTATAACCTACACAAAGTTTGTTAACTAGTATATTCTCAAACCCTTTGAAGCTAAACTAATAATCTGTTTTTGTAAAATATCTTTTATAGTTTGTATTTATTTTAAAAGAAAATAATATTTTAAACTTTAATTCAAACTCGAATAAAATTTAAATTCAAAAATGTACGTGAACACAAACATCAACATTGTTAGCACGAATGGTATGAATGAGCATAAAGGACACCCACAAGAATATTTCTAGGAGAGGGGGAGCAAAAAAAATTTATCTTTACCATAGATTCTATTTTGTAAATTCACGGAAGACGAATTTTAAATTTCAAATTAGAATTTGTGATATACATAATTAAAATAAAAATCTAATGCTTTCGTACATCCTAGTAGCATTGTTACATTCACTATTTATTTGAATACAATATGTCATATGTGTCAAAAAATGTTAGTTAAAGCAAAGTATAAAAAAAAAATACATTAGGAAAAAAAATATTATTTTCTTCATGCATCATTAAATAAAAATTGCACACATCTAGGTTCCATACAAAATAGCTTTTTAATTTCTTCTATTATAAAAGATTGTTGACTTTGCACTATGTCATTATGAATATACATCAGTGCTAAGCCATTTAACCGGATTTGTGTCATACTACTGCAAAGCCATATTTTTAATTTTTAAAACAAACTAATATAAAACAAAAATAAAGTTTTTATTGAGAAGAAGCAGTATTAAAGTGAATTAATATAAATTGTACATACCTAAATGATCTTTCAACATTGCATGTGGTTGATGGAAGTGTTGTTGCAATTATAATTCAATTTTGTATTGATGAAAGGAATTTAGTTTAATTTAACAGCTTAAGAAAATGAACAATATTTTATATTTCTTTTTTACTCCAGATATTAAATTACATAGGTCCTTCATCTAATATATTAGCAACCAATTCCCAATAATATGATTTTTTGTGTTTTAATTTGGAGATGAATTATTCATTTAAATTATTTTTCAAATATTTAGGATGAATTGTAAGAATTTTAAATTATACAAAATCTTAATAAAATGTATTATTTAATGATGTGATTATAGAATCTAAATATGGAATAATAACAGATATTCTTTAGTATTCTGCTGAATCAGATGTAGAGGGATTATTTCTCAATGTTTGTTTTGACGTTAAACTAGGAGTCTATAATTTGATTCCAAGTTCATTTACCTCACGTTTTATATAGGGTTGCGAAAAAAATCAGAAAACATTTTCCAAAAGTCAACCAACTTATTTCAAACTGCAAAACCATTTTTTGAAGGCTCCTTCGAGAGTATAAATGTTTAAAGAAGTAGCACCGAATATTCCAAAACCCCCACAACCTGTTCTAACTCGGTGGGGGACATGGTTAAGGGCAGCCTTTTATTATTGTGAACGTTTTGGTGTAGTTAAAAATATAATTATGAAACTGGAAAATGATGCAACCTCCATTGAAAATGTAATTGATTTAATTACTGATCCAGAGATAGAATTAAATTAAACCAAACTTCAGATCGCTACCAAGTTCAATAACAAAATTAGAATCATCAAACACTTGCCTTGCTGATGTTATACTAGTTGTAGAAGAAAAAAAATATAATTCATCAAGCACAAAATATAGTTAGACTCGAAATTCAAAAAAAATTCAAAGGTGTTTTAGAAAAAAATAGTGGTTATAAAAATTTGCAGATTATTTCAAAAATTTTAGAATGACAAGAAGTGATAAAAGAAGCCTTGCCAGAAGATTTGAATATAGATGATATCACATTTTTCAAGTATGCGCCAATTACATCTGTGGAAGTGGAAAGAAGTATTTCTACCTAAAAATATTAAACACACTTTGATAGTTCAATGTAACACATTTATTATTTAAAAATATTTACATAATATTTAATCGTTTAAGTAATAAAAACATATTTAATGTATAAAAATATTATTATTGTTTAGATGAATAGTATAATAATTAATAAATAAATGATTTAAAAACGATGGTTTATTATTAAAAAATGTAATTTTTGAAAATGTTATGATATTTTTCGGTTTTTTTAGGGTGATATTTTAAGTCATTTTTTGATTTTTATAAGTCATTTTAATACTTTTTTGTGTTCATTTTTTAAAGATTTTTAGATTTTCAAGTTCCGGGCCCTAGATATTACTCATAGTTTGTTTGTTCTTTTATACGAAATGTTAAACTAATGTTTTTTTTTTATAAAAAGCTAAATTACTCGGTTTCTCCTGTGTTCGATTTTGAAACAAAATGTACTATTTATTAAAATTAACTAATTTTACGTGTATGTACAAAAATCGTTTACATCAATATAAACATGTTTTATTAAACATATACAATTATTACATTTATATAATTAGAAACCAAAGACATTCGATAATTATAATTAAGGCGGGTTCAAATTCGTCAGTTAATGTGATAAACTGATAAAATGATCATCATGCCTGATTTTTTTTTATTGACGATATGTTTAATTAAACAAAGCGTTCACACGGTTAATGAGAAACCTATACATTCCTAAACAATAGTCATCATATGACATTTCACATGCAATAGTGATAGTACACACATCTCTTTTTAAATATTTATAAAGCAAGTATTTGTTATATTTTTCAAGTCATTTCAAAACTTTTTTTGTGTGTACTTTTAAAGATTTTTAGGCTATCATGTTCTGGGCCTTATTCATGAGCATTGAATACATCACAATCTATTCCTTATGAGATGTTAGTAACAAGCTCTATGGTGGCAGAATATTTTGTAATTATTCTAAAACAAATAATAAACTGTGAAGTAGTAATAGAATTTAAAATATACTTAGCCTTAAAAGAAGTGATTTTGTTTCCATTTATTTTTAAATCTTTTAAAACTTCAACTACCAAAAGCCATTTCCATGAAATTTTCTTAGGGCTTTATGTGTTTCAGACTATCTGGTACACCTGGTAACACACAATTTAGTGAGACTTAGAGCAGCTGATTGGTGAACAGATTTTTTTTAAAAAAAATTGATTGTTTCATTATCACATAATTTGTATTTTGAGCACTTGGAATTAAATTAAATAATTTTAAAACTAAATTTAGGTGATGATTTTCAGAATGCACAAAAATTGTTTTTTATGCATGTCTTTAATCTTTTTTTAGGCCCCACTTATATGACCAGAAATAGTACCAGCACCATCATAGTTCATAACCTTGTCCTACTAATTTGTTTAAATCTAATCCATAATTTTGCAAACTAGATAATATTTTATTTGCTATTGTTTCTGTATCTAATTTGTTTAATGCAATTAATGCAATAAAATCTTCTTTCAAAACGGGTTGATTATTTTCATAGAGTACATATCTACAACAAATTGACCGCTGCTCTACACCTTGTATATCCATTGTTTTGTCAGCTAATACTGACAGCATTTTTAACTTGGTTTAATACTAAATTAGATATAAGGCTGTTTTATGTTCTGTGAGATATATGCTTTGCATTTTTAGAACCATTTGTTAAATGATTTTCTAAATTTTTATTACCACTTTTGACCTTAAAGTTTAATTAAACAGGGCAGTATCATCAGTTGTACCTCTTAATGGTAATCCATGCTGTCCTAGAAATATGATTGATGAAAGAATTAAATTAAATTAATATTTATCTGATTTAATTGTTTCCTTTACTGAAGAGTTCAATATTTAATATATATCAGCTTTCTTACCATCCATAATGGAAATATAATCTGTTGCTCTCTGAACTGAATAACTATGCCAAGAACTGTTTAAATGCAATTTTGCTTTCTTATGTACATTTTTGTATTTACAGAATGGTGTTTTAATGAATGTATCATGAAAACCACTTTTATCAAGCAGTAGTTCAAAACAGCACACAAAATTTACACAAAGTACCTTTTAAAACTTTTGAGTAATAAAGCCAATCATACTTTTTTAATCATGCTAATAAGAAAGGTCTTTTTTCAACAACATCCACTTTTAAGTTATATGTACTACTAAGCATGCAGTGAGATGTAAGCAATTTATATTTTAACATATTATCAATTTTTTTTACCTATAAATAAGCCAATATCAGAGGTATCATTATCAAGAATAATGTTATTCTGAAAAAAAATATGAAATTAGGTAACTAGATAATATTTTCTATTCTTCTACTAATGTTGACTACCAACTCATATAGATAGTCATATAATATTTAGAGCGGGCCCGAGAGGGGTGGCGGGGTTAAGAGGGGCACCCCTACATCCCTATCTAGTTGGGCTCAGTTAGCACAATAGTTCATCAATACATTGAGTCTGCAATTTAATAATATTTCAAGTATTTGAATATTAACTATAAATAGTATTTATATTATACAATAAAATTATGAGTTCAAGTATTTTCCTATGAAAAAAAGTATTACTACTTTATTTATAATTTTATTAGAATAACATAATAACTAGGTATTAATTGATAAGTAAAAATAAAAAAAACAATAAAATGATAGTGAAATACTGTCGTTCCGCAAACATGCTTACTGCTCCATATTATGTTATATATAGATCTACTGTGGTGGTATAAAGTATAAATTGTCAAATTGGCTGTTTGTAGCCTGTACTCCCCCTTCACCCGTATTAGTAGTCAGTACATAATAATAATTATATCAGTTTTTAATGATTAGACCATAGAGAAATATTACTTTATGGATTACACTATATTGTCTAGTATAGACCAAACAGTTACACTACACATCACATTGGTTTTGAATTTTTGATACTGTATCTAAAATAATATGAATCTGGTAAGTTTTTTAAATTTGTTATACAGCATAATTGAATCCAATTTTTAATTTTCATATTCATAAAGAAATTTGTATACTTTAAAAAAATGGATTTTATAAATTATATGGTGGATTATATATTGTGTAAATGGTGAATGAAGACAATGTTTATAATATTTCATGATTTGTTTTAAAAGTTTGTACTTAATATAACAGTTTTTAGTTTTACATAAGTTTTTTTTAATATAAAATTAAATATACAGTCCTAAATAGAATTAAATATTTAAGAATTAATTATTCTAATTTCACCATAAGTACTATAATATTTATTATTTTTAATTTAGTCAAGTTTAACTCCGACAATATATAATCCTAATTTCAGAATCTAGAATCTAGTTTTATTTAGTACTCTTATATTTTATAAAAATTATTAAATTATAGGCCCGAACAACATGTATATCATCTCAATCAGTCCCCATAACAGATTTAACAAATGTGGTTGACTCGGCAGATTTAACTGAATATGGTACAATGTTATCTAAACTAAAAACTGAAGCATTACCAAATCCAGTTATATTCATATTAGAAAGTGTTTAGGTTATTAGCAAAATAAAAACTAAATCATCTGTGAAAGTTTTTTTAAATCTGTATAAGTACTAAAATTTAGAATATGGGTGTCGGAAGGTGAGGCTGCTTTGGATGCTTCTTGATCTGCTACTTACACAGATGATTCTACTTCATAAATGGCAAAAACACTGGTCAAAACAAAACACCAAATTAAACGCAATAAAAAACAATATCCAAGTTTGGAGAAACCCCGACTTAAATAGGAAAGATGAAACTATTATTAATTGTTTTCGAATTGGACATACCTACGTAACACACAACCACCTCATGGCTAGAAAAGGCCTCCCCTATGCGAAATATGCGGAGTGGAGTGCACCGTCGAACATATAATCATTGACTGTCTCAAATACGCAGACTCAAGATCCAAATACTCCATTCCTTACCAACTTAGTGAAGCTCTACAACCAGACCTCCAATCAAATACCAACATAGTCAACTTTTTAAAGGATACCAAACTGTACAACCTAATTTAAGAATTTTTATACAAAATGTAATATATTTAATTAATTTAAATTAATGTACTATTATAACTAATGGCCTCGTAGCCGATGTTTCATTTTGTTCAATAAAAAAAAAAAAAAAACTAAATCTAAAGAATTTTTAAAAAATGTAAATATTGTACTGAAACAATTTTCAGAAGGTACTGTAAATTCATTGTCAAATAATATAATTGATGAATTTATAAATCATGATCCAGGTGATCAATGACCAATTATTTAAACTTCACAGTGCCAATACCTTATAGCTTTAAGTCCATATCAGCCTAAATTAACTATAAATTCTAACAAATGTAAACAGCACAGTTTTAGTTCTAAATGAGTATCCATTGATAGAATATAGTATTTTATTATTAATATAACAGTTTGTATAGAAGCTTACTAAATAAACAGTATGCTCAGTCTGATACTAAATTAACTTGGAATATAATAAATTATGTAATTAGGAAACCAAGCCAGATTGAAATAAAAATTAATAAGATAAGAAATAAAACTGGTATTATTATAGATTCTAACATTGATATTTGTAATGAATTTAATGATTTTTTCATTAATATAGGAAAAAACTTAGTAATAGAGCATTTAGTTCAAATATATTTTTACCTAATGACAGCTATGATATTAAAGATAATATATTTCTAAAACAAATCGTTGAGGATGAAATTGTTAAACTTCTTGATAAAGTCAAAAATCATAATTCTTATTTTGAAAATGATTTGACAAATTATATACTAAAAGTGTTTCATCATAAGCAACTGGTAAGTATCCTGCAACCTTTCAAAAATTTGTAGTGACATATTTATTTAATACCGTTGATAAATGTTTATGTGGAAATTACCGACCCTTATCATTATCGATAACTTTATCTAAAGTTTTTGAAAAATGTATTAAAATTAGTTCTTGATTTTTTTTTTCTAAATTACAATTTGGCTTTAGAACTGATTTGTCTACAAACAAGGCTCTATTTAGGGTTGATAACTTCAATAGAAAAAAACTGGAAGATAATTTAAAAGACATGGCTATTTTTTTGGATGTGTATAAAGCATTTGATTATGTAAACAACAAACTTTATTGATAAAATTAGAAAATTCTGGAATAAGTGGAGTAGCACTAAATCTATTAAGATTTTTTTTTTGTGGTAGAACTCCAAGAGTTAAATGATGATCTAAATGTAGCTTAAGGAGTACCACAAGATACTGTATTGGGTCCTTTGTTATTTATTATTTTTATAAATGACCTTTTAAAACTTAATATGAATTAATTCAAAGGCTGAATTATTAAGATTTGCTGATGATACAGCTATTTTAGTATCTGAATCAACAGTTGATATATTATATGACTTAGCCAATAAAATATTGTATACTATTTATGCTTGGTTTTGTAAAAATAAATTAAAATTGAATTTGATTAAATCAAAATATATTTGCTTGGAACATTGAACATCAAACTGCTTAATAAAAAATAACCTTATAGTTTATTCGTTATAATGTAATCATAATTTTGGTCAAAAAAGTATACTATATAAGAGTTTGAACTTATGTCATTCGCTAAATATCAAGATAAACAATTTTAAAAATGTATTTGTTTTTAAGAAATATGTAAACCATCAATATTTATCTGATTTGTAATATTAGTCTCTTAAACTTTCATTAAAACATCAACACTTCTTACAATTTCTTTATTCTGGTTTTGTTAATAGATATTGGCTCTCAGCTAATTATCTTTCAACTGAATGTCGAATGTTTAAACAGAGACAAGAGTAGCTATCTAGCTCTATTATTACCAGAACTTAAAGCTGATGTAGTCTTACTACAGGAGACTCATGTCCCAGATGAAAAACAAATGCATTGCCGAGGGAACATCGATGGTTATAAACTCATTTCTGCCACTTATCACAAGCAATATGGAACTGCCGCCTATATACGAAATTGATATCTCTAACTCGAGTCACATATATACAAGAATGGTTAAGCCTGTCTTCGTAATAGCTACCAACGTGGCTAATATGACTGTACTTAACATCTATAAGCTCCCAAATGAAAAATGGCCCTTGCCAACCCTTCTACCATCTCAACACCCCACAGTACTCGCTGGTGATTTCAATAGCCACCACACCAGATGGGGGTATGATTAAAACGACGAAAACGGGGAGGTTTTAAGCGAATGGATTGAAACTGAAAACATACAACTGATATTCAACGGAAAAGATGGACATACTTTCCACTCAGGAAGATGGAATCGAGGGTATAACCCGGACCTTTGTATTGTTTCTAAAGATCATAATTGTGTATCACTTCAACCCCACAATCTGTCCTAAATAATTTCCAAAAAAGCCAACATAGACCAGTATGCATACAAATTGGTATCAGGATTCCACTAATAAAAACAATACATAAATTGAGATGGAACTTTAGGAAAGCTAATTGGACTGCCTTCTCAAAATCTCTAGAAGATAACATCAGGCCGATAGACCCAACGGTGAACAACTATGAACGTTTTATTGACATGGTCAAGGGAACAGCAAAACACTATATCCCCTGAGGCTACAGACACAAATATATCCCCTGCTGGAATGAGGAAAGTGACAGACTATATGCAGAATACGAAAGAAAGAACTTTACCTGGAACAAACCCAGAGAGCTATTTTAAAACGCAACATCACAGATAATTATGTTCAAAACAAATTGACTCAGGACCATCAACTGGGGTTGAATTTACAATATATTTATTTTATCGAAGAGAATTTAAGTCAGTTCTCGATATACTGATCACATTAACAAATAGCATCTTAAAACAATGTATTTATTCTGTTCAGCCATTATTTTCACAACCTTTAAACAAATCAAATATTACTTTTAAACATTACAAATTTACTTTCTTTATTTCCACCATATAGTACAGATTCCAAATATTTCAACATAAAAGATCTAGATTTAGTTTAGATTCAACTAGAGATATTATTTAACATATTACAAGATGATTCAAAATTTGTTTAAATCTTAAATGAAAATGTCTGAAGAAGTCAAACATATTTTACCATGCGCTAATTTATTATGTCGTCAGGCTTTAACTTCTCCAGTAGTAATATTAGGAATAGAAAAAGATATTGTGGACCAATAAGACATTAATGAATTAGCAGAATAGGCGTCAAAATTAAAAGAACGCAGAATAGAAATTTGACTGTTCATTTTTTTTTAAAGTTCAATTTTTAATAAAGAAAAACTTATTCTATGTCTTATAATATATATTTTTATACATATTTAATATAAAATATTTGTATTTGAATACCTGGCCATCAAAATTATATTGTATATATCTTGTTTTATAATAAAATCTTTGGTTAAAATGTAGATTTATTATATTGTACTATATACTATGTAATAATATATAAAATCAACAAGATTAAAAATAATATTTTGGTATCTTTAATGCTTTTTTATTTGCTACCAAAGTGAATAATAACTGTTTTTGATATTTATAAAACTAAAAATATGTGTGTTATAAACAATATGAATAAAAATTATAAAATGAAGTATATTATAACATAATAATAATGGTTAAGTTATCAGTCAAGCGAAGTGAGAAAATTTGTATGACTCTATGTATGAGTTGGCAATTAGTCTACACGCTCCCATAGTTTTTTTTTTTGTAACGGCCCTGATAATACTAAGTATTATATGAAATACATACCTGAGGTATAATTCTTTTAGCTGTAGCTTCATCATTTACATAATATAGTTCAGTTTCTTGTTCTCTTGAAGTAGACAGTTGAAGACTGGCTCTTGGATTCAGAAAAAAAAAAAAAGAAAGTCAAAATATCGAAAAACAACTGCTATATTTTCTCTTCCCCTTTCTTATCTGAACTTACCTGCAGTTAGAATATCCATTTTTTAATTTCTCGCAATAATATATGAGTTATCCTTTCACGAAAATTTGTACACACAATATGTTTAAATTATATTATAGAATTGTACAATATATTTACACACGTAATATGATTTCATTATCAATACTGCAGCGTCATCGGCGTCTCTTAAACACAAAATCAGTGCTACCAAACCCATCAGAAATAAAACTTTAAAAGTACCTACATTGTATAATACGGAAAAATAAATTATTAAAACTATCGATAAACGCCAAATACATTTATTTTCAGTTTACTGCACCTACAAATATATATAAAAACTAGATAGCCGGATCTCTATACAACAATGTGTACAATTCATGATGCCCAGCGGTAAGCGCTAATTGTCACTTGGGCAATGTTTTCAAATTCTTATCATTTTTTTCTTACAAAAAAACAGTATCCAGTAATGAGGTGTGGAGCGAGGAAGCTTATAGTTTTATAAAGATGTTTATTTTTATTTTTTTTTATCTGTACAAAATTTTTCTACCAAAAGACTTGCTCGGAGTTTTACGTATAGTAACTTTTCTGAAAAGAAATCGGTGTGAGGAGGTACGTTAAGGAGGTTATTTTTCGATTTTCTCAGTTTTCTCATCAAATTTAAAAAACCGAAAAAATGGGAAAAACGTAGAAAAATCGGTACTATATTAAACAAATATTATTAAAGAAAATATTTGCAATGGTTTATCATTGCTTCCAGGTATACATTAAATAATCTTTAACCGTGGCTGTTCTCGTCTCTACTATCCTAGAACGTCTTTTTAACAATTTAATTACAAATAACTATGTTTTTTTTTTTTTTTTCGTATTTTCTTTATTTTATCATTATATTTAGAACTCCTACCCACAGCACAGCCTTTGGTTATAGTGGGTAGACCAATACTTTTGTATTGTTTTTTGATCATTATAGTTTATTGTTTTTGATGAAATATATTATTATTATTATTTACAGATAAGCAGTAAGTACATTTAGAACTTCATAGTGTGTTACTTTTAAAATTATTTCTTTAGAAATTGAAGCACAGGTGTGCAAATATTTGTGTTAATGATTGATATGTTTTATTCCAGATCTTATTCGCTGTTGGCCGTCAAATTATACTGAATCATGCATATAGTACAGTAGGCAATATCCAGAAAAACAATTTAAAAATATTATAAAACATTTACATTTAACTTATTTATGTATTTACTAAGTACTAGTTACTATTTGTTGTTTCGTAATCGGTTTGTTTTCCATGTAAAATGATTGGCCTTACGACTTATTATCTAACCTCTTATTAAACAGATTGAAACCATTTATTAAAGAAATTATTGGAGAATACCAGGCAGGTTTCATGGTAGGTAAATCGACTATAAATAATCAGATTCATATAATAAAACAGATTGCAGAAAAAAGCCATGAATTTAATAAAGATGTACACATGCTTTTTGTGGACTTTAAAGCAGCATACGACTCGGTAGATAGAAAGAAACTGTGGAACGTAATGTCCCGTTTGGGGATACCAGAAAAACTTACTAGAATAATCAAAGTGTGCGTATAAGGCTCTATATGCAAGGTGAGTTTTGGAAGAACCTACTCAAATGAATTCCCAGTGTCGACAGGTCTCAGACAAGGAGACGCATTGTCACCGGCTTTGTTTAACATTGCCTTAGAGTCAATGGTGAGACAAGTTCTTAGTAAGGCAGAAGGATTAAAACTTAGTGATGACCAACAGCTCACAATTGTAGCATATGCTGATGATCTAGTGATAATAACAGAAAATGAGGAGAGTCTGAAACAATCCACAAAAGAGCTAATAAGGGCAGGGAAAGAAATAGGTCTTAACATAAATGGAGATAAAACAAAATACCTAATACTATCCAGACAACATCAAACGGCAAGACAATTAGAAATAGAAGGTTTCTCATTTGAAAGAGTAGAACATTTCAAATACCTAGGAACTTGGGTGAATGAAAACNCTATAGCATTATACGCGTGTGAGACGTGGGCAACCACAAAAATGGATGAGAAGAATTTGGGTGTTTTGGAAAGAAAAATACTTTGGAAAATGTTTGGACCAAAAAAGAATAAAAGAGGTGAATTTGAAATTAGGAAAAATGAGGAGTTAAGAGAATTATTTGGATAAGCTCATATTATAGGAATTATGAAGAGTAGCAGAATAAAATGGGCTGGTCATGTTTGGAGATCTGAAGGAGTACTGGGGAGCATAACAAAATGGAAACCAAACACAAAACGGCCTCGAGGAAGACCCAGACAACGGTGGGCTGATAGAGTCAAGGATGACCTCAGGATGATTGGTGTGGAAAATGCGGAGGAAATGTCAAGAGACAGGGAAAAGTGGAAGGATGTTGTTGTTGCGGCAATGGATCTTAATGGTCTTTAAGACGCCTAAAAAAAAGAAGAAGTTACTATTTGAATGTTTAAATAATTTTTTTTTAATTAGAGAATTTATCGGCAATAAAAGTTTTGAATATGTTTTAATACTTTTTAGATTAAAATAGGTAAACTATGAAAATTGATATCACATTTAATTACCTACTTTTTACATTTAAATTATGATAATCGTAACAAAAGCGAGACATTTAATGAAAATCAATAGATTTAACAATCCCCACCAGACTTTAAACTTAAAACAGTATGCCCACTGATATTTATTTTATTCCTTTTAACATGTAGCCACTGACAAAGAGAGTTGTTAAGTGGAGCTCTTCGCATTTTATTAATATTCAATTAATCTTTTATTAGAATTACCAAGTACCGGATAACTGAATCAATTTTATGAACATTCCTATCGTATTTTGGTATTGTATGTTTATATTATAGTTATATGACTTACATGTATTTATATTTTATTTTAGATTCTGAGTAGAGCAAAGAAGCTTATCGTTTTACAAAAATATTTATTATATTTTTTTTTTTATCTGTGTGCAACTTTTTTTTTTAGAAGACTTGCTCGGATTTTTAATTGTAGCACTTTTTCTGAAAGGAAATCGATGTGGAGAGGTTTTGTAAGTTCGTAATTTTTCGATTTTTTCAGGAGTTTACTAATCAAATTTGAAAAACCGAAAAAAACGAGAAAATATAAGAAATTTAGGTATAAGATGAAAAATATTACGGCTTTCTTTTTTCTTGTGAACTTTACTACCAGCAATTTTGCTTTAACCTATAATGATAGCAATGTTTCTAATAGGAAATTTCACAAAGAAGGTACTTTAAAGAAGTCGTTTATTGATATTTTCAGGAGTTTTCTCATCAAATGTGAAAAACCGAGAAAAAACTTGGGTAAACGTAGGAAAACCGGTACAACATTAAACAAATATTATTAAAGACAATTTATAAAGCTTATTTAATTACTATAAAATGACATATATTGTTAACAAAGCATCATTATCAACTGAACTCTTCTTAGAATCGTTTTTCGTAAGAAAATTTTAAATTACCTATAACAGTGGCTGCATTTATCTCCATTATCCTAGGACAGCTTTTTCTTAATATTTTGGAAATAACAAAAAAGTCGATTAATTACGGAGCAACGATTTCATTATTTAAGATTTTTATGGTTTATATTTTCTACCATACATTTTACTTTATTGTAAATCGACCAGAGAGATATTTTTGTTGTATTTTTGATTTGTTGATGACTAAGAACTTCGTTTTTTGATTTTCTTTGTAGTTTTTTTAATAATTGAGCAATACCGAAAAATACGTAGAAAGACCGGAAATATTTACGAAAATAATTATTTTATTATTTTGATTTTTGTTTTTCTAATAAATTCCAGTAAAAAAATACTTGAAAAATTTTGACCGAAAACTTAAATAAGCTTTTTCTAGACACGGTAACATTTTTAAAACATTTTAGCCATTTTTGAGCTACTTATAGATATTTCAATTTTGTGAAGGTTTTATACGTAATTTATATTTAGTAAGTATTCTATGGATAAAATTGTTACATTTATCAGAAATGATTGGAAATTTAACAGAAAGTACATTACAATTTATAAGTCGTACTTAGTGGTAAAAATTAAAAAAAAGCTGTTCTAGGATACTGGGGATGGGTGCAGCTACTATTGTGGGTGGAGAGTTGAGAAGGTAGGATATAGACGGAAATTTAATATATATCTGTATGTTACGATTAACCTTCGCTAACGAAATAAACGATCTGAGTGGAGTTCGATTAATATCGTTGTTTTGTCATCAATATATATATATATATATATATATATTATATTATGGTAGTATAATTACATATGCATTAAACATTTATTGGAAAAACTCCTGAGAAAGTTAAAAAATATCCGCTCTATAGTATTTCCCCGATCAGATGTCCTTTTAGAAAAATTGTTATCATTGTAAATTTGAGCTAAATTGCGAGTAGAAAATTTATATATCGAAAAAAATATAAACATGATTCTAAAATCAATACATCCCTCTTTCCACTGAGAATTTAAATTTGAGTGAAATGTAGTATTTTTTTTTATAAGAGTTTAAATATCAAATTTTGACTAATTTTGTGTCAGGCAGAGTAGTGGAGCATCATTTGTGTAGTGGTTTTTATTATGCACCCTCCCAACCTAAACTTAAAACAAGGAATATCTCGTCAATCGGAAATCAAAAGTAGGTAGTGGTTTTACCGCCATTAATAAGGATGGCAAAAAATAACATAAACGTATAATTGTAGAGCTGCTTGTTTTTTAAGTGTTTTATTAAACAGATTCCGAAAAAAGTTTATACTTTCCGAGATATTGAGTGTCTTACGGTAGATTGACACTATATATATATGTATATAATATACACACACCCTACCGCACACTAGCGCTTATAAGTTTTGTCCGGCAAATTCGACACTCCCGTTCGGTGGGTAAAGACGTGCATGAAGACTATGAATTGGTAACGAAATTCATACAGTTGATGATTAGTTGATGCATTTTCTACAGTTTCCATCAAAGACTATGCAATGTAAGAACCAATCCCAATTATTTAATTATTGATTCGCTGTGTTTCAAATCTATGGTCTTACAACGATATGTTTGATTATTATTTATTTATTTTATTTTTTTAAGAGTAGTGGTGCATTATTAGTATGGCGGTACGGCGCGCGGTGTGTTAATAATGCACCACTACTCTTCTCCAACCTAAAATTAAAAGTGGTATATCTCGTCAATAGCTTGACAGAGATCAAAAATGGCAACACTAAAATTTATTTTAACTAGTACTCAATCTATTTATGGACTTTTTAATATAAGTTGCCATTCGAAAATCAAAAGTAGGTAGCTGTTTTACCCCCGAAAATAAGGGTGACAAAAAATAACACTTATATTAAATTGTTAAGCAGCTTATTTTTTAATTGTTCTAGAAAATAAATTCTGGAAGGATTCGAATGGAGTTCGGTTAATAATGTTGCTTTGTCAACAGTATATATGCCATATTATGGTTAAGTAATTACATGTGTATTAATAAGCACATTGTTCATACTATTTCCAAATCTTTATCTTAAGTTTTATAACCAGAAACTGTAAAAACTTTTCAAATCCAGTTGTTCTCAAACCTTTATACAATTCATTAGTTTATTCGAAATATATTCTAATTTCGATAGTACGGTCTTCATATAAAAAAACCCATATTTAATGTTTATATAATGTCCAAAATCGTTTTCTCCGCTTTATGTCATTTAAATACAAAATAAATATATATATATATATATAAATATATGTGAGCCTCATTCCTAATACCTACAATTGTTGAATATTTTAAATGGTTATATTGTGTGTCCTGATTTGTTATTTCATATTAATTTTAATGTCCAGCAATGTAGAACTAGATCAAAAGATATTTTCTATATATTTCTTCTAAAAACCTTGTATGTATTATTTTCTCCTTTAAATAAGATTATGACATTAGTCAATGAATCCAATATTGAATTATACAACTTTAATTCTATCAAGCTGTTCAAAAATTATATTAATATTATTGATTTATAACTATTTTATGTTGGTTGTAATACTTAGTTTTTGAGAATTACTTCTCTATTGCTAATTACCGGCTGTATACTTACACATACATTTTATAATTGAATCGTTTTGATCCGTCAAATATTTATATAATTAAATAAATAATAAATAAATATATTTTTTTTAATAATATTTGTAAAATATTGTACCTATTTTCCCATGTTTTTGTCCGGATTTTCCCATTTATTATGAAAATAGGTAGGAAAATCAATAAGTTACCTCCCTAAAGTACCGTTCCAGTCAAATTTCTTTTCAAAAAAAAAATAAACACCATTGTAAAACTGATACATTCAATGCAATTGCTGCTTGGCCTATTCGTTAATCTGCGGTTATGTAGACAGATACATTGTTATGATGCAGTGGGCTTATATAGTAAATAGGTTCTGATAAAAATGTGTATAGGTATCCTTTTATTTTTATACCTCTTGAAACACACACTCATGTGTGTGTTTCATTTATATTACATAAAATATAATTGTTTAAACAATGAAATTAACATCAAATTTTCTTTCTTTCTTGGAATAATAATGTTAGAGAAAAATATTTTATTAATCTAATATTTCAGACTTCTGCAATTAATCTGATGTAAACTTGATAAATGTTTGTCTTCAAGTCAAGTAGGTAAAATATAATTACTGTTTCTTCAAAAAAATCAAGTTTTTTTAGATGATATTCACATATAAATGGACATATACTATACATTAAAATCACAACAATAAGTTTATATAGTATAATTCTATTTCACAATTAGATACAATAATATCATGTGGAGAAAAATATAATAGTTTTTATTTTTTTGAACTGTCTAGGATTTGATTGTCTATAAGTATTATATTATAATATTTAACTATACTGGAAGGGAGGGAGCAGTTGTCCATCAAAATACAAATAATATATTAATAATTATTAAAAAATCTCTTTTTAAATAATATACTTATCAACTAACACAATTTGTTGAATAACAACATTTTTCGGTACGTAATTTAACGTAAGTACAGAAAAAAAAAATACATATTATGCATATATATATATAATATAATATTATTATATATATATATATACATACATACATAAATAATATTCATTAAAATTATTAATAAATAAATTAAAAAGGAAAAAATAATCATATAACATAATATTATTGTACAATAATAATATTCTTGTGATAACAAATCGTAGGAACACAAAATGCTGTTATACAAATAATATGACCGTAATCCGTATTTTAAAATAAAACATTGTTTTTGTTTTTAATTTAATGAAAATAAAATAATATTATAATATAGTTAAAATAAAATTATATTCTCTACAAGGGGAGGGGGGAATAACCAAATTAACACCGGTCTTTTGTACTTTAATAATCACATAAACATAGATTTGATAATATAATATTATAGTAATAATATTGTAATAATATATAATTTATGTTGTTTTTCATATTCTAAAATAATATTATATGTTTAAATCATTGTGAAAAAGAACAATATTACTTTTTTATTAATTGTATTATTTTACAGTATATTATTATTTAATTGCACTGCGCTTATCACATTCGTTTCCACATATTTTACAATAAATATAATATTAGTTATTTTATTTTTTCATCATGAAAAACAGCGTGGAATCATTTTTTTTAATAATATAATAATAATAATAATATATCGTCAGCAATCAATATTGCTTTACTCACACACACGCGCGTACACACATGCCACACACACACACACACACACACACACACACACAAACATATCCTCATGCACATTTTATTTTTTGTACATCACTATTAATTAGGTATAATTATATCGGTTCTATGTTTAAACATGCACGTATACCGATATATATATATATATATATATATATATATATAATTTTTTTTTCTTTTTAAATAATCACCTATTGCATTTGTATCTATTACAACACACACATATGGGGAGAAGTCTGTGATCTAATATAAGTAATTATATTATTAAACAATAGTAAATACACATGCACACACCCAACGTACACAGAAAATATATATATATATATATAAGATAGTTTTCATGTTTCTATTATTATATATTTAACGATAATGTGTTTTTAACAGAAAAAAAATATTTATTAATAATATCTAAGGGTAATACACACACACACAAACACACCTTGATTATTATTACAATTATTATTGGAGAAGAATTATTATTTGAGATCATGATATATCTGCACGGTAAAATATTATTATAATAATTTATAACAATATTGTATATTATTATTGGGATATGGAGAATCGAGGTTAAGATATCAATGGTGATGGAATATATAATAATAATAATAATAAAAAAAAAATTGTATAAAGCCTTTTACAAGAGACATTATCAATTTCATAACATTATAAAAAAAAAAAAGAAAAAAGTAAAAATAAAAATAAAATAAATATGCATAAAAATAATAAATTAATGAATTACATAATTATTTTTAAAAGGGTTTTACAATTATATTATTATTGTGACATATACAGATATGATTATACAATGGTCTTACGGAGACCATATTATTATTAATTAATTATTAGTTACTACATTTTCGAATAATGGTTTTATGGATTTATATTTTGATATGCTATAATAATGTAGGAGGAGGTGGCTGATACTGCTCTCGTAACATACAATATAATGTAATTTATAATATGATAACAAATATTTTTTTTTTTTAAACCATTTTTCAAGGATCTTATACAGAGTCGTGGGTAATAATAATAATAATAATTATTGCTTTTAAAATATTGACTACAGAATACCGTGTTAAAATAGTAAAAGTTAAATACAATAAAATATGGTATTTCCATATATATTATTATTTATTAGGTATGCTTACATGCTAAATATTTGGTCTGTCACGCTTAAACGCAAGACAAAAATTATCACAATATAAAATATAATATTATTATATTATTTGAATTTTTTAGTGACTAAAATATTATTATTAATGATTTATTATTATTATTATTATTATTATTAATAAATTAATATTCTCTCTAAGATTATACGTATTATTTTATAAATTATATTTAAGTCCTAAAGGTGCTTGATTGAATGTTACGAACTAGTTAATCTAGGAACTGATCATGCTAAATTATTAAATCCACTGGGATTATACACAATTATATAACTAATTGTAACAGAAAAAAATATATGTGAAATATTATAGTGTCCAAAAAGTTTAAACGATGATAGCTGTTTTTAAGGATTCAGTCAAATGTTTTACAATATAACGTTATGGTACATCAGAAAAGAGAACAAAAAAAAAAAAAAAACCAAAATAAGATTGAAAAAAAGAAAAATTATGGTCATTTTTAAAATATACCTAAACCTTAGGTATTTACCTGTAGAATTATGACAATTATTATTATTTATAGGTCATACACCTTTTGGATGAGAATTTTCGTGTTAACAGGAACTGTGTATGCTTTCTGCGTATTGTGTTCATACAAATTTTTATTCGGCCACTGGTACTTGGACAACATAATGCATTAGTCGAGTAGGCAGACTGCCTGCGTTTAATTGATAAAACTCGACTAATTGTAAAAGGTCATAAAACTTGGTCACACCATTGTCGAGCGTAAAACAAACTTGATCATTAACTGGATCCATTTGCTATGAAAAAAAAAGTGTTAATAATTTTTAAAATAAAAAGTATAAACGGTTGGTTAATTATGAATGAAAAAGCATTATATAGTATATTTTATATTTAAAATATACAGTGATTCATGAAGTACACTCAACTCATTTTTATGATTAAATTTTAATTCAGATTTCTGGAAATTTTAAGTGTAGTTAAAGCTGATATTTTCAAGTAATTAGATTTTTCACAATATTTAAAAAGTACCTACCTATCTGGTAGCGATGTCAACTTTAGTTTTTCAAATCAGAACCTACATGTGTTCATGTAAATTGTAAATCATATGATTTTTCTAAAAATTTTGACTAATTGTAATCGTAATTTGACCGAAAAGTTTCAGAATTATTTACTTTAAAATAATAAGGATACCTGTCTAAAAAGCATCATCTGTGTGACGGTATAACGAGCAGCGTTTTCATGGTGCTCTACTACTCTCCCCTACCCTAAACTTAATAGTGTAATATTTTGTCAACGGGTTGACGTCAATAAAAAATATCAACACCAACATTTATTTAAACCAACATTCCATCTATTTATAGAATCTCTATTATAGGTTCTCATTTGAAAAACCTAAGTTGGTATCACCACTGGATACTCTTTAAATTTTGTGAACAATTTAAGTATTTCGAAAATCAACATTTATCCACACAAATTGGGTGAAAATGTTCATAAATCACTCAGTATATAATGTTTTTTTTTTTGTTTTCAAATTATTACTTCTTATTTTAAATTAAAAAAGGAGATATTAATAAAATATAATAAGCAAACATATTTTGGATGTTACATACTGTTGCAATAGGCGTGTGTACAATTTTACCGCTACATTTGAACGTCAATACATATGAACCACATTTACTTTTGCTCTCGCGTATTAAAAACACCCTGAAATATAACAGTTTTA